TATGCCTTGTGCCGGAAAGAGGGGTAAGCATTTTTGGCATCACAAGGACTGTGCATACACTAGGGCGTCCGTAGAGTGTCTTGAGGAAATAGCCGGCTTATGGTTATGGCAAATCTGGGGGGTAAATTTACCCCCCGCTTATGCATGCGTTAGGCTAGAAATAGGGTAGAGAACTTGTAGCAGTGAAGTACAAGGCCTACGCAGCAAGCAGCAGCCAGCAGCAGCAGCAGCAGCAGCAGCAACCACCAACCAGCAGCCAGCCAGCAGCACCACGCAGCAGCAGCGCAGCAGCAGCGCAGCACCACCACCAGCAGCAAGTAGCAAGCAGCAAGCAGCAGCAGCAGCAGCAGCAAGCAGCAAGCAGCAAGCAGCAGCAGCAGCGGCGTCGTCAGCAACAGCAGCAGCGGCACCAAGCCGCAACAAGTAGCAAAGCAGCAGCTACAAAAGCGGCAACCAGCGGCAGTAGCAAACAGCAGCAGCAAGCAGCAGAGCGGCAGCAGCAGCACCGTTTACACCAAGCCACCGTTTACACCCAACCAACCACGTTCACACGTTCAACCTACCCCCGCTACACGGCGCAGCTTGGAGTCGAACCGTGGGGGGGGAGGGGGGGGGTAGCGTGATATATCAAGCTTTAAGGCACACAGCTCATCCCACTACCAATTGCTAAAGCAAAGAAGAACTCAGCTAGCATGCTAGCTTTCGTGATCAAGCTTTAAGGCACGCAGCTCATTCCACTTCCAATTGCTAAAGCAAAGAAGAATTCAGCTGGCGTGCTAGCTTTCGTGATTACCTACCGCTTTTGTATGCCTTGGGTAGGAAAGAGGGGTGAGCATTTCTGACATCACACGGACTGTACATACACTAGGGCGTCCGTAGCGTAGGATAAACACTGGTAAAAGGTATAAGGAATAGAGTGTCTTGGGGCAATAGCCGGCTTATGGTTATGGCAAATTTGAGGTGTAAATTTACCCCCCGCTTTCGTATGCCTTGGGTCGGAAAGAGGGGTCAGCATTTCTTGCACCACAAGGACTGTACATACATTAGAGCGTCCATAGTGTAGGATAAGCACTGGTAAAAGGTATAAGGAATAGCGTGTCTTCAAGAAATAGCCGGTAGCAAATTTGGTGGGTATGGATACAATCAACAGTTTTGCCAAACCACACATGTCCAAGACAGTAAATTCAAACACTTTACTCTCAGGTATTGAAGATTCATCAACTGACGAGGCGCAGCCAAAATGTTATGTGATGCATCCACAAGAAGAAGACGAGCAAATGACCATGCTTCCGACGAAGCTGACCATGCTTCCGACAAAGCTCGTCAATGAATCCTAAATACAAACACTAAGAGTGTCTAGATGAAATAGCTGGTTTACTGTTGTGGTAAATCTGGAGGTTAAATTTACCCACCGCTTTTGTATGCCTTGGGTCGGAAAGAGGGGTGAGCATTTCTGACATCACACGGGCTGTACATACACTAGGGCGTCCGTAGCGTAGGATAAACACTGGTACAAGGTATTACGGTATAAGGAATAGAGTGTCTTGGGGCAATAGCCGGTAGCAAATCTGGCGGGTTTGGATACAATCAACAGTTTTGCCAAACCACACGTCGAAGACAGTAAATTCAAACACTTTGCTCTCAGGTAATGAAGATTCATCAACTGACGAGGCGCAGCCGAAATGTTATGTGATGCATCCACAAGAAAAACGAGCAAATGATCGTGCTTCCGACGAAGCTGACCATGCTTCTGGCAAATCTCCTCTACAAACACTAAATCAGTGGATGTTTTGCAATAACGCATGCAAAATCCCATGAGTGTCATCTTGATTCTCCAATAATTACGTGTGCCTCCGCTACCCAGGATCCATCCAAAATTCAAGTGCATTATGTCTTTGACATCCTGGTTTTGAATGCACACCCCAAAATCAAAAATACCAAACAAAACACCAACAATTTCCAACATGTAACAACACCTCCACTAATGCCAAAACGCCTGCAGCTGTCCTTAGCGTGATATATCATGCTAGAGTGGGTTTGTGTGATATATCAAGCTTTAAGGCACGCAGCTCATTCCACTACCAATTGCTAAAGCAAAGAAGAACTCAGCTAGCATGCTAGCTTTCGTGACAAGAGGAATGCAACTGAATCATGTCCAATCTGTCAACGTAATCATCTGCTCCAGGCAACGATTCATCTGTCAGGGTGAAGCTCCAAAGCTCCTCCACGTTCTGCGCCTGGCGCGCCCCGTCCTCGATCCCACCGAAGCGACCAGCGGAACGACGCCCACCGGAACTCATCCAGCGCGCAACTCGCGTCTGATGCAAAGTAGCTTCTTGCTCCTAGTAGTAAGGCCAGGAGCCCCTAGTAGCGTCCTTGCTCCTAGTAGCGATGCCAGGA